ATCCCCCACATTTGCCGGCTATTATACGGTAGGAAGTGGGCACCCAAGAAAACCATCTGTTTTTTCACTTTCGCCGGCTATTATACGGCAGGACTGTGTGGACACCCAAAAATATTTTTCCCACATTCGTCCAGTAATAAGCCTAGGCAGGGCATTTGGGCACCTTTTAAACTCCCCGCGCGGGTACCAACACAACACCACATTTTTCAAAGATGACTCTTACTCGAACTCATGCACAATTAACAATTCCATCACATTTTACTTCCATCAACAAACATTCATCTTCACAATAGATGAAACACCACATAATATTCAAAGAACAATAACATTCAAGTCACAATCCCATTACCATATCAACATCAACATCTTTCATCTCTTGATTGTTCATAATATTCCATGAATCAAAGGAAATTCCACTCAATTTAGTGTTTTCTATTCAAATTGAAAAGTTAGGGTTTTACCAAATTTGGGGGTTTCTCTCCTTCATCATAGATATAGGTTTTAACAACATTTATATATATGTTTTTAGCAAAAGAGTTAAGAAATTTCAAGCAAAATGATTTATTTGCGTAAACCATGGGTTTAATCCAACAAGATCCTCAAATTAGCTTATAAGTCACAACAATACCATGAAATCTCTTCAAAATAAAGAAATACTGGAATAAAAGTATCCCTACCTCAAAGAAATGAAAAGAAAACTCGGAGAAACCCAAAGTTGATGAAATCTTGAAGTCCTTGGATCAAAAGAAAGCCCTTGACGCGCTCTCCAACCTTCCTCAAGGGACCTAGGCGAGAAGATGCTTCTAGATGAGTAGATCTAGCTATCTAAGTGGGAAAAAGTTGGGTTTAGAGAGAGAGGAGAGAGACTCACGATTTGAGAGGAAAAATGAGGAGAAATCATGAGAGAGAAGAGTGTTGGGTCTATTTATAGTAGTAGAAAAGTATCCCTAAGGTCATTGCAAAGAATAAGCCCAAAACCCCCAAAAGTAAGGCCCATTTGGACAAAAAATTCTGAAAAAAAACACGCAAGGGTTGACCCTTCGGGCAGAGGTGTCGACCCTTTAAGTAGAAAAGACAATCTGGCACAAGCAAAGGGGGTCGACCCTTAGACAGGAGGGGGTCGACCCTATTTTTCAACAACTAATACACAAATTCTACAACATAAAAGGGTCGACCGTCCCTAGACTGGTGTCTACTTTATTTTCCAACAGAGGCACTAAGAATTCAAACAGGTATAACTCTCTCGTTCGGGCTCTGTTTTAGGTTGTTGTTATGTCCAAATCAAAGCCCCAGAAACAAGCTTTCCAATGGTTCCAGCCTTACATTCTAATTCAAAGTATAGAAGGAGAAAAGGGATACAGAGTGAAGGTTGGTCAAAAACGAAAACTCAAATTTGGGGCTTTTGATCTAATCTTGCCTAAATACCTTGTTAAGGCTTCAATTAATGTTCCAAACATCCCCCAAGGATCCTCAATCATAATATTTAAAGTTCACTTGCCAACCCATCAATGTCAAGAGTCCAATAACCATACAATTTTTAAGGTGACGGGTACTAATTTACACCAATCCAATATGAATTGGAATCTGAGTCATTACATAAACTACCCTTGTATTTTCGTTATTTGTTTGAAAGACAAAGAGTGCACTCTAACCCCCTGTGATTTATTCCATGTGCGATTTATCCCCTTAAATTTTGAAAATGAGTATATAACCTCCTTATATCTGCCATGTGTTTTATACTTGCTGTTAAGTTAGACGAAATGTTTAACGGTGCACTTTAGTCCACAAACCATCTGGGGATATGTGGTCATTTCTAAACGTTAGGGGGGTAAACTACACATGGCCCAAACCCAAGAGGGTAAAATGAAGTTTTCCATTAATTAATCAGTTAGCTTGGTCAACTAATTAAATAAAAATTAATCCCCTTGCTTATTCGCCATTTTTACATCGTTGGGTCCTTCAAAATTATCAACTCTTTGTCTTCCATTGTCACGTGACATTCAATTAAATGGAAAAACTGTCAGGTGAAAATTTTATTAAAAAGGGTACAAACAAGTATTAATCTCTTTAATGGGTTATGTTATGTACAATATGGAAAATAAGATATTTGTAGGATTGCTTATCATAAATGTCATAATTGAATTCTTTTATGGTCACAATGAAAACAAAAAGAAGAAATTGAGTCATAACCAAACACTATTTCAAGGTCATAATTAAAAAAGAGCAAATTTCACTTTATCCTCTTGTGGTTTGGCCCGTGTGTGAATTGTCTCCATATAATTTGAAAATAACCATATAACCCTACGTGGTTTGTAGACTAAAATGCACACTAACTTCTGTTAACGGGACATGTAAATTGTCAGTTATACCTTCATTTTCTTTTGTTTCTAAATTTAACTTATATGCATATATATATATGTACATATGGGGACATAATTTTGTGAGTTGTCCACGTGGCTTGGTGGATAGTCAAGGTGCCACGCAGACGACATTGTTTAACCAAGGTGTGATATGATCACATCGTAGTCTAAGGTAATCAGATAAGGACTAAAGTCCTAGATAATGACAGACTCTTTGTTTAAGTAAGTTGGGACTCTTGAGAGAGTTAATCCTATACCGAATTGGAGGAGTCCTAAATAAGTGATATCCTTGAATGGTATAAGAGTCCTATGAAGTAAGACTTCTAGGAGATGAGGGCATAGTTGACTATATAAAGTAGGCACCTCCGTGGGCCTAAGGTACGCTTTTATTAAGAGTTGTTTACTTGAGTTGATTATCTTTGAAAGATTGATTACTGACAAGATTGTTAGAGTGCCCTCCCGGTGGGTAGCCCACCGGTTTAGGTATTTTATTTTGTTGTGTACTAGTGTTGGACTCGTCTAGTGCACCTGCTCTCTGGCTTAGTTCCCTAAATCTCAGGCTGAGATTTGATCCTAATTGTGAGGTCATATTTCAACACACATAAGGAAACTACATGTAGGTAAGAGTTGGGGAAAAAAATTACCAACATATGGAGGGGTGCAAGTGACACTTGCCCCCCACAACCTTTTATTTGCACCCCACCACAGACACACTTGCACCCTCCGCGTGTTTGTAATTTTCCCAACTCTCACCTTTATGTAGTTCCCCCTATATATATTCAACAATTTGCACACATTTCCAAAACCATGTAGTTTTGATTTGTTTTTTTTGATGTCTCCTAATTTGAAAGAGTAGAGAAGCACCAACAACCTCCATTTTTGGCGAAACGCTCATCCTTTCTCTTCCCTTCAGGCAGTCCCTCACTGCGCCTCATCTTCCTCCGAAAAACCTCAATTCCCAATAGGTCCCACCCTTCCTCTTTTTCCTCCGGCAACTGCTCACTACTCCACCTCCTCTCTCTCTCTCTCTCTCTCTCTCTCTCTCTCTCTCTCTCTCTCTCTCTCTCTCTCTTTTTAAAGATTGGAAAGAACTAAAAATTAATTTAGTTAAACGTGACAGCTTAATCCTAGTCTATTACTAGACTTCTTAAGTCTACCTAGATTGTGACTTAACACTATACGATCTTGAATTTTTTATTCATCAAACATCACCAAATCATCTAGTTCATCAAATATCTCCAAAATTATATTTTACACAAATATATATATATATATATATATTTGTGTGTGTGTGTGTGTATGTATATGCACAATGAATAAATTAAAATAAAAAACAACACGATTTTGAATTTTGATCCATCAAACATCACTAAATCATTTGGTTCACTAAACATTCCCAAATCATCAAATGGAATCATGGAACAAACTTAGAAAGAATATGAATATTTCTTAGATCACGGCGTCCTATTTCTGTGATAATGAATTTTTGGGATCTGGGATTTGTCGGGCGGCGACAATGGTTGAGTGGGGAAGAGACAATGAGAATGGTATGCAGAGAGAGGGATTGGTGACGATGGTTAAGATGAGTAGATGAATGGTAGATTTGTAATTTCGAGACTTATTAGGGTGTTTTGATTTGGAAAAAAAAATCTCATGTTCATACCAACTATTAACAAATGTGTGTAAATTACACTTTTAGTTAGTTTTTACGAAAATTGTAATGGTGCATTTTAATCCATAAATTACATAGAAATTATGTGAATATTTTTAAATTATAAGAGAGTAATCTGTACATAAGCCAAACTATAAGGGGATAAAGTAAAATTTGTCCTTATAAAAAAATTGACCGATAATTAAAAGGTTTTGAATCATAAATAAAATAATACTATAAGGAATATTACAATCAATCATAACTAACGTTACCACAATATATATAATAAAAGATGTTGGTTTTTGATTAGAACAATCGACAAAAATCATAACACACAATCATATCATTCTTTTTATTTTATTTATTTTTACGTGTTTAAGTAAAAAAATTAAAAAATTAAAATTAAAATAACCACGGAAAATGAGCCGTAGCTCGAATATATTGGCTCGAATTGGCTCGAAAGTCCTCGCCTCCCTCGCCTCTCTTCTTTCTTCTTTTCCTTTTCTTGTTTTTCAATACAGACAGAGGAGAAAGAGGGAGAGAAGAGAGTAAGAAGAGAGGAGAAAAGAAAGATGAGGGGAAAAGGGAATGGAGAGAAGAGAGGGCCCCTGCGCTTTTGCCGTCGGCCGAGCCCCTCCGCTTCCGCCGTCGACCGATCGTTACAGCTCGCAGCTCGTCACTCGTCCCTCGTCATAGCTCGTCCACCGTCGCCTCCACCTCTACCTCTTTTTTTTTCTTCTTCCTTCTCTTCTTCTTCTTCTTCTTCTGGTTGATGTTGGCCCCTCCGCTTCTGGTTCCGCTTCACCTTCATCTTCAAAAAAATGAAAATAAATCTCCAAAATGACGTAATTTTAGATTCGAGCTAATTTCGAGCCCGACGATTTCGAGCACGGTAACAGTTTCGAAATAACCACCATCCAAACACACATAAGACAAGAACAGGTCATAAGTAAGGAATAATTAATAGAATTTCCAATATCCTTGTTATGCAACTTGTTTGTGCTGCTGATTAAAATGTTATCCAAACATTTCACATAGAAAGGCGAGCTTCAAAACGAGGAGTGCCATTTACAAGAGAGGCCAGCAGAAAATGGGGATGAGCTTGGTGAAGGGCAACTACCAGCTATCCACTTGTATCCTCCTCAATTCGCAGCACCGAACCACTGTCTTCCCAACAAAAACCATGCCAATTATGTGTTCCAGCTTTTCTAAGCCTCTGTTTTCTTTTTCTTCTTTTAAGGCCTTCTCTTCTCAGACATCTGCTTCTACATCCAACCGTAATTCTCTCTCTCTCTCTTTCGCACATTTCTTTCTTTAGCTTTGGTCAATTTCTTAATTGGGTATTCAATTTTTATTTTTAATTTTACTTTTTTTGAATTTTTATGTGCATATATGCGTTAAAGAACCTCCAAAACTTGGCAATGAGATATGAGATAAGTTGCTAGCTGCTACTTTTGTAATTTGTATTACCACTTTTAAGCTGGGTTTGGATCATATGGAATTGGGTAGAGTTTTAGAAAGGGAAATGAAACATGTTAATGAAATATATATATATATATAAATATGTTAATATTTTTTTTCTTCATTTTTCTTTCCCTCTTCAAATTCCTATCCAAATCAATGATAAAAGATAATTTGACTTGTTAACTTAAATTGAAAGGGTACCCTTTTGACGGGGGATTACTCTGAAGTTAAAAAGATGGGAGGGAGGATCGTAACTATCAAACCAATTGATGATCAGATAGGACTAAAAATGTAAAAGGACAAGGGGTAAATTTTGAACAACTTCTGCTCGGTTTGTTTGGATGAAAATCAATTTTCTGAAAATGCCTTTTGGCTGTTGGTACAACAAAAAATGAGAGTCTAATGTTTTCCGTTGTCAATAGAAAATAAGTTTATTTGGGCGGAAAATGATTTCTACTCCCATCACCATCCCCATGCTCACCTCCACCCCACCTCTACCACCGTTGCCGCCGCCACCAGCACTAGCACTAGTGCACCACTAATACAACTATTAGGACATTAGTCTCAAGAATGCAACCAAAGACGAGAAACATTTTATGTATACAATTTTCCATAGAAAATGCTTTATGTTCTATTTTTCAGTTGCTAATAAGGTGACATAAGAAAGTAGTTTCTTCAAATTTAGTGTGGGGTTGCTGAATGTGCATAACTTCTCTGCATTGGTGATCAAATAAAGAATAAATGTCTTCTTCTCTTGACATGCATAAATGGTACTCAATACATGTTCATATTGATGTGTCTGGTTTGTTAAATATGCCAAGGTTTCCAGAAGTAAATTTCAGGGGCTTGTTTCTATAGAGATTTGTCCATAGAAATGTGATGAATCCATTTTAGAAAAGGAAGGCAAATATGTTTTGGTAACTTAATAAAAGATTTCCTCTTTTCTTTTCAAAAAGACAGCTGTGAATCTGTGATAGCCTATGCTGTTGGCATGGTGGTAAATGTGCAGCAAAGAAGGGATTGTGCTGGTGGTGGTGTCACAGCAACAGTAGTTGTGGCATTGCTAGTGAAGGTAGCAAGAAACTGGAAATTACTAGATCTGTGTTTCTAATGTTTTGATGGTAGTGATTACCATCAAAAGATGTTGCGGTAGTAGAGTACCAATAGATGTGTTATTTTTGTGGCAGTCGACTATAGTATCAACGAGTGTTATTTGTGACGGAGTGGGTGGATGTTTGCAAAGGTGGATACCAATGGCAAATGTGAAGGGCGAGGTGCTTATTATTATTTTATTTATTTATTTATTTTGTTGAGGATGCCATTGTAGTGATATCGTGCAGTTGGAGGTGTCAAAGGTGGCAGTAGATGTTTTTGTTTGTTTGTTTATTATTGTTATTAATGGGTGTGTTTTTGATGTAGCATAGTGAAGAGAAGTAGGGGAAAAAAAGAAGCATAAGTAGGGAGAAGAAGAAATTGGGGACCAATCCTAAGCAATATCTCAATATCAATTATTCAATACTCAGCCATATCAAGTCTGATAATAAAATTATTACATAAAAAAAAAAAAAAAACCTATAATAATTAAATCCTAATAAAACAACAAATAATAATAATAATAATTCCTTATCTTTAATTTATCTTCGTCAAACGCCTTTTCATTCCCCATTTGCTTGACATTTGAAAGTTAGATGCAAATATATGGTTGCTCAACATTTTGATCTTTTGTTGAAATGAAGACAACTCATAAATTGAAGTTAAAAAAAGGAGTAAACTAAGAAAATGTATTGCCAGTTTACAACTAGCACACTCGATTAGTTTCAAATCATGATGTAGTGTACTAGCTTTCACATGCAAATTGACTTGTTTTCTAAATGGTATGTTTTAGTGACAACTCAAGTGTTACCCTTACAACCAAGTTTTAGTTTGTCATTGCAGCAGATGAAATGCCAGCACATGTTGGCTTTTTAGGTCTTGGAATTATGGGCTCACCAATGGCTCAAAATCTCATAAAAGCTGGGTATGATGTTATCTCTTTACTTGATTTGAGCTAATGTATTGTCAACACTGCCTGAAGGATTAATTGGAAAGCTCAAGCTTGCTTTCCACTTGCTAATTATATATTCAAAGTAATTAGAGTCATTAGACTCAACTTTAGTTTTATTATCCCAATTGAATTGATTTGTTTGAATTGTATTGTAGTCGTGTGTTTCTTATTAAGCAATATTTGTAGCATGACTATACTTAAGGCTGAAAAAACATTGTCCATGTATTTACGTCTACTTAAGAGCAGTGATATTGCAAAGCACTTTTGACTTTTCCAGAAAAATTGAAGGACGTGCCTACTTGAGTTTCTCTAGAAACACTTAAAGATGCTTTGGCTGTAACATTTTCCTATATTCAAATTAAAATGTATACGAAAGTTTTATTGTTGATTGGCATGTTTGTAGATGCAACGTAACTGTTTGGAATAGGACGAAGAGCAAATGCGATCCTCTCATCTCGTTAGGTGCAAAGTAAGTTGTTGCTGTACAACCTATTTAATGGTCTTTGCAATATATTTTGGTTATGGTCTACAATATGAATTCCTACTTATCATCTTAATGCCCCCGCAATTTAGTTTAAAAGATAGTTGTTGAGAAAGAATAGTAATTAAAAAAAAAAAGAGAGGATAAATTACATTTTGTACCCTATAGTTTACATCAGATCTCACTTTGGTCCTTTATTTTTCAATATAATAGTTAACCCCTTGGACTTTTGGTCAAGTTGCAATGTGGCCTTTTAGTTTATTGGTGTTAAATTGTCTAACGAAAATTATCATGTGTCCCTTACGTGAGGCATTGTTTAGGCAAAAATGTAAATTTCTACTTCTATATTTTTCCGTTGTATTGTCTTTCTCTACCACCACCGACCATCCTTTCCATAGTGGGTCTAGAAGATACAAATAGAGAGACAAAATATAGTGGAAAAATAAAGTACAAGAAGAAAATTACATTTTTGTCTTGAAAAATGCCTCATGTGAGGCAATTTCCATTAAGCAGTTTAACAAGAAACTAATGGAAGGGCCACATTACAATTTCACCTAAGTTTGATGGATTGACTGTTTCTATAGAAAAACGAGGGACCGGAGTGAGATTTGATGCAACATGAATGGGTGCAAAGTGTAATTTACCCAAAAACGTATGTTGACGTCTGCATATTTGTAATGGCATGTGTCTATGAGGATTGTAAAATAAGGTCTAACCGTGAAAACAGCCGTAAGCTCTGCCTCATTCCCTTTATAAGCTGCTGGCAGCACTCGTTTTGTCTAGTAGGTTGGGTTGGAAAGGATGCTTGGATGTTTCAGCCTTCATAATCCATGTTGGGATGGGGTGGTTAAAAGTCAGACCTTATTACAAAGACTTAAAATAGTATGCTGAGACATCTCCATGCACTTCAAACTAACAAAGCTCATGTTGGATGGGAGCACTATTGGCGGTCGTGTTGCTGTAACTTGAACCCTAGCCACAAGGCTGGGTCGGATTGCACTTACCATCACACCAAGTCGTGGAAATAATAATATCAATAGTCTATTTAGTTTTCACAAACAAGGAAGTTAGTATAATGTTTGGGGATTCTGTGCATTCCATGGTTTATGGCTTCCTGTTGGTCTTGTGATACACATTTCTTGCTCATTTATGATAAGTGCTGATCTTATTTGATGTTCTTGGAACCATGTCACTCACATCACTATTTAAATTATTTTATCAGGGAAGGCTGTGAGGGTGCATGGTTTTTGCTAGACACATGATGTTGAGTGCTGCATTTTCTTTTAACGTGTACACAAAGCAGAGTTCATGAGCATAATGAGGGAATAAATGCATACCATGGGACTTGAGCCTAGGACCTCTTGAGACCATGGCTCTCATGCCATGTTAGATCCCCAATTGTCCAAAAGCTAAGTTGTTAGGAAATAGACCCAACAATGTATATCAAGCTATCGAACAGTTAATGTTGGTGTCAACTGGAAGGACTGTGTTTGTGTGCCTACAAATATCTCTAACTAGTTCTCAGGTATGACATCAAGGTTTCTTTGTGACATGAATAGTTGGAGCTTCTTTGAATAGGTCTTTTTTCTTTTACTTTGAGTGGGCAATATAACCGGCTTGCCGTGAGCCTGAAACATCAAGGTTGATGAATCAACTAGGTACAACTTGGTCCACTAGGAGTAACCTTTGATATCTGAACCCGCTTTCTTTGGTTGATTGATTGTAATTCTTTCATAAGAACTGTTGCAATAGAGATAGCTACTCTTGTATGCAGATATAAATCATCTCCTGAGGAAGTCGCTGCAAGTTGCGATGTCACATTTGCCATGCTTGCTGAGCCTGAAAGTGCAGTGCGTATGTTTTATTTTAGTTATGCTTGTCTGCTATGTCGGTAATTGCTACTTATAGTTGCTTTTTATCAGTTGGATGTTGCTTGTGGAGAGCATGGAGCAGCAAGAGGAATGAGTCCAGGAAAAGGGTATTGTTTCCTTGTGTTTCTTTATGCGAAGGATTCTTATGATAATGAGCTATCAGTTTAGTGTCAGTACTCTTAGCACTATATTGGAATCAATTTAAGACAATATTTTAAACTCAGTTTGCAGTCTCCTTAGTGATTATGCTACCAGTTCACTTTTTAATTGTTGCAGCAAAATTCATTTATTGGAAAAACTAGGTACATTCTGTTTATTCACTAAACTGGATGGGCCAAAATCCGAGGGTTAGATGAAGTAATCTTTAGAAACTATATTCCAATTATCTCGACATGCAGATATGTTTTCTGATAATTGATGAAATTTCCCATGAGCAAATTCTAATTTCACAGTTTCAAGAAGCAAGGAAGAACAAGATTTGACAGATATGCATAGGCTGTTGATGTAGGGACAAGTCAATGTGGTTAAATTCAAAGCACCCATGCTCAATCTGAATTGGCCTGACGATTGAAACTCACTACTTTGTTGAGGCTTTCTATTCACAAGCGAATTCCTCAGGAGATGAGCCAATTTTTGGTCAAATTATAAAATTCCATAAGTTTCTTGTAGCCAATTTTTGGTCAAATTCCGTCGTTTCGGCTTCCAAATTTGCATGTTTTTCCCTTTATGGAAAGTTTTGTTTAGTAATAACTTTATTTAGTGTCATTTGTTTTGGCATGTTTCTTACGCTTTCTAGTATTCAAATTTGGGTTAACTCAAATTTACTATTTTTGGTAATTGTTTCGTTTCTGAATTATTTTGTGTTCTGCAAGGATTAGGAATTTAGGATTAGTCTATTATATAACGAAAAGAAAACCTTCATCAGAGGCATTTTTTGCCTTAATAATTTTTCAGAGTTCATATTTCCCTTGTGGATTCAAGTTTCTTACTCGTGGACTTGAGAGACCTTTTCATCTTCTAGAATGATATATAGCTACCGTGTGATATTTGGTTACGGCAGTCATTTTCTTTCCATCGATAGAAGTTATTCCTTTTGTAATTGCACATGCACCTTCAGTTTTCTGTGATGTAAATGGAAAGATATACATATAAAAACTTTCCTCCGAATGAATTTGAAAAGAGTTCATTTTGCCAAAGGTTTTCAGTTCTCTCTGCTGTGGTGCCTTTGTATACTATGAGTTTTATGACTTATATTTGGAGAACCATCAGATTTGAGATACTTTAATGATAAATAATGTTTGATTTTATTTTATATTTTTGATCATTTGTGTTGGCCTATTCTTTTTGTGGGTGATGACTTTTTCTTTTTATTAAAAAAAAATATTTTTAATTTTCCAATGAATGCAAATGGGTTGGAGCAATTTGTGGACTCTGGTTAGAGCTCAGTCCAGTCATATCCATAACTGTGTGAAGCAGCTTTAAAAACTTGTATTAGAGAAATTATGATATCACTGATAAGAGTACTGAAACACATGTTCTCAGGGGATTAGTGTGTACTGCCATTGTAGAGGAGCACTTCTTATAACAAATCTCGTGTAACTAACTAGAGAGTTGGGTAGCTGGGTTGTTAGTTTGTTATGTATATAGTTAGATAGATGTACTAGTATATATAGGACTGTACACCATTGAATTGAGCTTGGAATGAGCATATCTTTTCTATCATTTGTATCTCTCTTTGCGGTATCAGAGCTTCTATAGCTCTCACGAGCACACAATAATGGCAGCATCATCATCTCTTCCATCAAATCTTTTCTTGCTCATCTCTAATCTCAACTCTCTGGTTACAGTTAAGCTCGATTCATCCAATTATCTTGTTTGGAGGAATCAATTTCTCAATATTTTGTGTGTTACTGAACTTGAATATGTTGATGGATCATCCTTGTATCCATTGGAGAAGATCATCGATTCTACAGGCAAAGAGGAGTCAAATGCAGCCTACAAACAGTGGAGGTTAGTAGATGCACATCTGCTAAGTTGTTTGACTGCGACATTGTCTTCGTCTGTCTTCTCCTCCTTTGTTCGTCTTCAGCGAAGCAAAGATGTCTGGCTTGTTCACACATTCACCAATTGAAGAACAAATTGAATGTTGTTGTCAAGAAATCACAAACAAAGGAGGAATATTTGTCACAGATTCGAGATCTTGCAAGTCAGTTATCTCTCTCCTCCTTTCCAATCGATGATGAAGACTTGGTTCTTGTTACCTTGAATGGCTTACCTGGTGATTGTAGTGCATTCAAGATGACTATTCGAGCTAGATCTGGTTCTATAACAATGGAGGAGTTATCTTCCTTACTGTGTTCTGAGTTCATTCACGTTGAGAAACATACCTCTAACTCTGATCTTCATCTTGCTTATGCTACAACTACAGGTCCTGGTACTTCTAGTTATGGTGCTTCTGCCTCTCATGCTTTAGGAAATTCGTTCAATAACGGTGGATCTTCATCTTCTCGTGGTCGTTATTTCCATAACCACAATCGTGGAGATAGATTCTCGGATGGAAGTTTTCGCAGAGGTGGAAATAGATCTGATGGTCATCGATCTGATGTTGCTCGATCTAGTCAATTCAATCCGCATGTCAGATCTGTGGTCATGATAATCACACTGCTGTGGATTGCTGGTATCATCAAGATATTTCTGGATCTTTGAACACCAAGTCTACCTCCAATTCGAGAGCATATGTGTCCTCCTCCTTTTCCCCACAGTCCTCCACTGCTTCTCAGCTTTGGTACTTGGATACTGCTGCAACAGATCATATTACTCATGATCTAGGTAATCTTCATTTTCAGCAGCCCTATCTTGGTGTTGATCAGGTTACTGTTGGAAGTGGCCACACACTTCCTATTCATCACACAGGTAAAGGAATTTTACCTACTCTTACAGGTTGTTCTTTTGCCTTAAACAATCTTCTTCATGTTCCTTCTATCAATTCCAATCTCATTTCTGTTCTGAAATTTGCTAAAGACAATAATTGTTTAATCACTTTTGATGACTCATCTTTTCTTGTTCAGGACAAGATCACCAAGAAACCAATCTTTAGAGGCCCTAATATTCAAAGCTTCTATCAGTTTCGTTCTCCTCTGCATAATATCTCCTCTCCGTTTACACATGCTTCACAGGTCTCACAAGCTCTTCTCAGTGCCAAACTTTCTGAAACTACTTGGTACAGACGATTAGGCCATCCATCTACACAGACACTCATGTTTTGCATCATTTTGTACTTCCTGTTTGTAATAAGCATCAATCTTCTCTTTGTTTAGCTTGTTCTGTTGCAAAGGCTCATTGATTGCCTTTTCAGTTTTCTAGTTCTACTGTCAATCAGGTTTCCTCTTTAATCCATAGTGATGTTTGGGACCCTTTTGCATCCTCTACTTCTGGTTTCAAGTATTATATACTTTTCATCGATCATTTTAGTAAATTCACATGGATCTATCCTTTGCATTATAAGAGTGAGGTATTTTCTAAACTCCTGCATTTTAAAGCTTTGGTGGAAAAACAATTTTGCACTCCCCTGCAAATATTAAGGACAGATCAAGGGGGAGAGTATCTTAGTAAGCAATTTCAGAGTTTTTTGGCTTCACATAGCATAGTTCATCAGTTGAGTTGTGCTCACACTCCACCTCAGAATGGAGTTGCTGAGAGAAAGCATAGACATCTTATTGAGACAACTATTGGCCTCATGCATCAGTCCTCTCTTCCTCTTCCTTTTGGTTTGATGCCTTGGCTGCAGCTGTTTATCTTATCAACAGGTTGCCTAGTAGTACATTGCATAATCAATCTCCTTCTGAGAAACTTTATGGCTCGTCTCCAGACTATTCTTTTCTTAGGGTCTTTGGTTGTCAGTGTTTTCCATGGCTTATTCCTTACACTACTCACAAACTGCAACATAGGTCTATTCCTTGTGTGTTTTTTTGGGTTGTCACCCCCTATCAAAGGCTATAGATGTCTTGATCCTCAATCTGGTACAATTTATATTTCAAGACATGTTTGGTTTAATGAACATGTTTTCCCCTTTTCCACATTAGCTTCTTCTCCTCTCTCTCTTTTGCATACCTTCTTTTGGCCTGCTTCCTCTTCCTCTGCTGCTGCTCCATCTTCTGTCTCACAGGTGTTGTCTCCATCTAATCCAATTATCACTTCTCCTCCTCTTACTCCTAATTCTGCTCACCAGTATTCTCCTACTCCTGTTTCTTCTCAGCGGCCTCTTACCTCTTCTACTCATCCCATACAGCTGCCACATGTTTCTGCCTACTAGGTCTAAAACAGGCTCCTTAAAACCTAAGGTTCTGATTTCTAGTACTTCCTCCTCTTCTTCTCCTACTTGCTCAGATTCTGAACCTCTCTCCTACCTTGAAGCCTCTAAGAGTCCTGCTTGGACTGCTGCTATGGTTGATAAGTTTACTGCCTTACGGAAACAAGGCACTTGTGTTGGAATGTGTTCCACATCGCCTGGAGTTGCCCCATCTGTGCTAATTATAAGGCTTCAATTTCTCTCTCCTCAATACCTGGGTTTTAAGGAGAAGTGTTGGCTGGGTTTTTCAATTTGGTATTAGAGCTTGGTTGGGCCTGTGACTAGTGTGCTGTTTGTCTGGCTACTGTGTGTTGTGGTCCAGGAGGGTGTGTTCGAATTTGTCCCGCATCTCACATCACCTAGAGTTGCCTCATTTGTGCTGGTTATAAGGCTCCAATTTCGCTCTTCTTAATACATAGGTTTTAAGGAGAAGTGTAAACTGGGCTTTTTAATTTATATTCTCTTCCACCTAACAAACTGTTTGTTTGAGAGAAAATTAACTAAGGGAATGATAATGATGTCACCTCATTTTATATTAATCAACCAACAGTTACAAAGAAAGCCCTAAGGCACTAATTAAGGAATTACAATATAATTTAAATAAGAAAACAAATAATAGACAGATTCTAACATATATTCTAACACTCCCCCCTCAAGCTGGTGCAAAGATATCTCTCATGCTTAGCTTGCCAAGAATATCATGAAATTGTTTACTCTCAACTCCCTTGGTGAGGATATCTGCAAGTTGTTCACTAGACTGCACAAATGGAGTACGTATTGTGCCACTAGTGAGCTTCTCTTTGATGAAGTGACGATCAATCTTAATATGCTTTGTCCTGTCATGTTGAACCGGATTGTGAGCTATGTTGATGGCAGCTTTATTATCACAATATAGTCGCATGGAGTCTTTCTAATCAATTCTCAGATCATGTAACAACTTGATCCACAAGAGCTCACACACACCTTGTGCCATAGCTCTAAACTTAGCTTCTGCGTTAGACCTGACAACCACATTCTGTTTCTTACTTCTCTAAGTAACCAAATTGCTTCCAACTAAGGTACAATACCCTGAAATGGACCTTCTATCAGGTACGGATCCTGCCCAATCAGCATCCGTATAAGCTTTCACACTAGGATGATCATGTTTGGAAAACTAAAGACCTTTTTCAGGAAAAGATTTTGAGTATCTCAAAATTATCATAACTGCCGCCAAGTGTGTTTCATGAGGAGCGTGCATAAACTAGCTAACCACACTAATGGCAATAGTAATATTAGGACGAAAATGGGATAAGTAAATAAGCTTACTTACTAGTCTCTAATAACTCCCCCTGTCAACGACTGCACATTATCATCACAAAGTTTTTTATTAGGCTCCAGTGGCGTGTCACAAGCTTTGCTTCCAAGCATCCATGTTTCCTTTAATAGGTCAAGGATATTTTTTCTCTGACAGATGAAAATTCCATCTTTGGACCTACCACTTCAATTCCCAGAAAGTACTTCAGGTTCCCCAAGTCTTTGATTTCAAACTCACTTGTCAAATGTTGCTTCAACAAATGGATTTCATCAACATCATTTCCTATAAGAATTATGTCATCCACATATACAACGAGAGCTATAGTCTTACGATGAGATGAATGTTTAACAAATAGAGTATGGTCAGCTTAACTCTGTTTAAAGCCATATTTCAGCATTGCCTGAGTGAACCTTTCAAACCAAGCCCTAGGGGACTGTTTGAAGCCATATAATGACTTTCGAAGTTGACACACCTTACCCTTAGTTTGAAAGAGTTTCAAAATCAGGAGAAATATCCATATACACCTCCTCTTCTATGAAAGCATATGTCACATCAAATTGATGAAGTGGCCAATTCAGATTAGTTGCCAGAGAGAGAAATACTCTGACTGAATTTATCTTTGCAACTGGAGCAAATGTCTCTTGGTAGTCCACCCCATAGGTCTAAGTAAAACCCTTTGCTAACAAGTCAAGCTTTATACCACTCAGTTGAACCATCTGTCTTGTGCTTCACAGTATACACCTATTTGCAACCTGAAGTTCGTTTTCCCCTAGGTAACTCAGTCAAAACCCAAGTGTTATTCTTATGAAGTGCCTCCACATGGCCAGTTTTCACTCGGGAATAGTAAGAGCATGCTGAAAATGATTCAGTATACTAACAGAGGAAATTTTTGACACAAATACTTTATATGAAGAGGACGAATGAGAATAAGACACAAAATTAGAAATATGATGATAAGTGTAAGATCTCACACTTTTCTCTTGGCAATGGGTATATCAAGATCAGTAGGCCTAGGCTTAGAGGTAGCAATATCTAAAATTTCAGGAGTTACGTGGACCTTCATCAAGAGAAGGAGATGGTAGTAGTTGATCAGAAATGGTCTCTTGTATCTAAGTAACTTTTTGCCTTTCTTTATCCCTGACATAGACCTGCCCTTCTTTGTTCTTGGCAACATCAGATTTTATATTACTAGTAATAGATACCACTGGAGGTGGTACTGGACCAGAAATAATAGGTACCTCTAGTGGCAGTACTGAGCCAAAAATAATAGAAGCAACAAGACTCTCTTCCCTCCAAAACTCCTCCTGAAGAGATGATTGGGACACTAGACTGGAGAAGAAGTAGGATTGAGGCTCCAAAAAGATGACATCCATGGACACAAACCATTTACGAGAGGGAGGATGATAACACTTGTACCCTTTTTGAGTAGGTGAGTAACCCAAGAACACACACTTGAGAGAATGAGGATCCATCTTACCCCAAGCCTGGGACATGGTATCAGAGCCAAAACCCTAAACCCATCACCCACACAGTCACCAGCCACCACCCGATCACCACCTATCACTACCCAACCTATCCCAGACCCTGTTAGCTCCGGCAAAAGGGAGTCAACTACTATCTAGGGCCTGTTGACCTCTTTCAACACCTCTCTGGGTGGTTTCGGACCAGCAACCACTCACCTCAGGGGTTTTCGGCCCCAACCAACACCCTCTTCGGGCTTTTCGGCTCCATCCAACCTCATTCAGACTGCTCCTGTGGTCTGGTGGGTGCTTTGGCCTTCCGTGTGGTCTTCTTTTGTGTGTTTCGAACTCTCGGTGAAAATGTTTACGTATTTCTCAGCATTATATGTTTTGATAACACTCTTTGGTTCATCCTCTTTATTCCTACTGTGGTTGTTCATTGTGGTTGAATCTAAGACTGCTATTTTGATTGAAGTTTCACCTTTTCCCCATTTTATTTATTCTTTGGAGTGGTAAATGGCCCCATTAATCTAAGTGTTATGCTACCATAGTAGTCCGTGTTTGAGATTGTTTGTCCATTCCATCCTCTCTTTCCATTATTGTGATTAGTGTAGTGTTTTTTTAGTTAAGATAGTAGCATGAACATAGCTGACCCATCTAGTGAATCCACTACTTCTCACCCATCTACAGGAGAGAGTTTCAATCCAGTTATGACTACTATTTCTGAAAACCTGAACCCTAGCCTCAAAATCACCACCTCTCTATTTAATAGTCACAGTGTCTTAAAACTTTTTCTGAAGAGTAGAGGGAAGATGGGATATGTTGATGGGAGAGTTCAAGCACTAAATATTATTGATTCGGGCTATGACCAATTGGAGATTGCAAATTCTTTGATCATGATGTGGCTCATTCATTCAACAGTCCCTGAGATTGGTGAAGGTTATTTATCCATGGAGACTGCCTAAGATGTTTGGGAGATAGTAGTTGCTACATATTCCTAGAAGGGGAATTTTTCTCAGTCATTGGAGTTGTGTTGATCTATTGAGTGCTCAGTATAGGGGGAGCAGATAGTTCTTCAGTATTATACCTTTCTGACTAATGGGTGGAAATGTCTAGATCATCTCCGGGATTACAAATCTGTCTGCATAGTTGACTCAATTGGTTACCGTCAGTTTCTTGCCCAGGACAGTCTTCAAGTTCCTGGAAGGCCTTAATGTGGAGTTTGACCCAGTCCGGAGTCGTTTCCTTGACATGGATGTTCTTGCATCTCTTTAGGAGGCCTTTGCTTATGTCCAGAATGAAGAGAGTCATCATTTTACCATGTTACCTCCGAATTCTACATACCATTCAACATTACTTTCTTCTACACCTTCTCGAGATGGCGCTGGTGTGCCACTTTCTTCCTCTCATCATTCCGGGAAGGATAGTTTGTTCTGTGATTACTGTCGCCAGCCGAGACATACCCGTGAGACTTGTTGGAAGCTTCATGGGACTTCATCAAGGGGTCGAGATCTCTCTAGTCATAGAGGCGGTCGTTCTAGTCAGTCGCAAGGACGTGGGTCTTACTCTCGTGCTCATCAGTCTAGTACTGTAGAGACACATGATTCCGCTCCGGTTATGTAGACTTCTGATCTGGTCTCAGGTATGTGGGGTGGATGATAAGAGTACCGAAACACATGTGTTCTCTGGGGATTAGTGTTTACTGCTATTGTAGACGAGCACTTCTTATAACAAGTCTTGTGTAACTAACTAGAGAGTTAAGTAGTTACGTTGTTAGTCTGTTACATAAATAGTTAGATAGATATACGAGTATATATAGGACTGCATGCCATTGAATTGAGTATGGAATGAGAATATCTTTTCTATCATTTGTATCTTTCTTCAATCACATGGCTAAATCCAGCATTGAAAAGTTGCATGGTTGATTGACAAGTCAATGAAGTGGTATATAATGCACCAGCCATCGGTGCACATCAAATGGAACCATTGGCGAGACGTCATATGAGACCATACAATTAATTTCAAAGGGTATGTTTGTTCATTCTGTGTCACGGGCATGCAAACGTGCACCTGTCGCAACAGCTGGAAACTATGACCAATAGAGTCAGACACTTAGCTACATCTGCACGCATACGGAATGTGGTTCTGGTTGAGGCTTTCTTTCCATTATATTTGTAAAGGAGGCGCGGGACACCATTCCCTTTTGATTTAGAAACCATTTGAAATTATAATGCAATGGAATTTGAGTTTTGAAGAATTCATGCCCATATGCTGCCTGAAACAATTCTTTATAGAGTTTGGCAAGAACATGTGAACTGAATGAGTGGATGTGGTTGCTGTTAAGCTTTGGGATTCTGGGGCCCTCATTTCAAGTAGTTTTTTTTTTTTTTTTTTTTTTTTCAATTTTTTTCTTTTAATTGCTCCACCATAAAATGCTTGTTACCTTTTATTGTGATGTATAGTTTCTGCTTAATTTCTTGCTTTGGATGGGTATTTGCAGGTATATAGATGTTTCCACAGTTGATGGTGCCACTTCTAAATTGATTGGTACAAAAATCAAAGATACTGGTGCGCTTTTTCTGGAGGTTTGTTTCAATTTTCTTTGTCTAGCTATCTCCATTAAGAATCTGTAGTACAAAAGTAATTGGTGCACATGGAAATGTTTACATAGCTGTGTATTTTATTTTGTATGTTTTGAATTGCATGATAAAAATTCCATCTAGGTTTTTGACTTTCCCTATAGGCTCCAGTTTCGGGCTCCAAAAAACCAGCAGAAGATGGACAGCTGATATTTCTGACCGCAGGTAAGCAACGTTTTGTTGACTTCTTTTAGTTTATCCTGCTGTTCAATTTTAAACAGTTACTGTCTACTATTGATTCAGAAATTAACGAAATTGTTTTTATTTTATTTTATATTTTTTTAGTGCAAGCATTCGAGGTCTTCTATCCAACTTAATTATTTTATTGGTTTTCCCACAAATTTTTTCTTCCACATTGTTGTCCAAGTTGTAAACTAAAGCTATAGCTACAATGCTACACTTTTTCAGGTGATAGATCCTTGTTTGAAATGGTGGCTCCACTCTTAGACATCATGGGAAAGGTATTTTATCTTTCTCTATATTGTTTGCCACCTCCTCCTTCTCCTCTTTTCATCCTACACGATAGGCCTACGTAGCAAAGGGTAACCCCTCCATGTATCCGTAATGTTAGTGTTTATTTGAGGAGAAATCAAACTTAAGGAATGATGAGACTATCACTTCTTTATATATTAATAATATGAAGCGTACAATAGAAGCCTCAAGGCACAAAAGGAAACTACAAATAATGACAGCTAAGTAGAATCACAATCACATAGACAAAGATATTATTCTAACACTGCCTCTCAAGCTGGTGCAAAAATATCTCTCACGCCCAGCTTGCTAAAAATATCATAGAACGGTTTACTTGCAACTCCCTTGGTGAGAATATCTGCCAATTGTTCTCCAGACTTTACAAAGTGGTACATATAGTGTCACTAGTGAGTTTCTCCTTGATGAAGCGACAATCAATTTCAACATGTTTTGTTTGGTCATGTTGAACTAGATTGTGAGCTATGTTAATAGCAGTCTTATTGTCACAGTATAGGCGCATAGAGTCTGTCTGTTCAATTCCCAGATTACTCAATAGTAACTTGATCCACAAAAGTTCACACACACCTTGTGACATGGCTCTAACTCCACCTCTGCACTAGATCTAGCTACCCCATTCTGCTTCTTACTTCTCCAAGTAACCAAATTTCGCCCAACAAAGGTACAATATCCTGATGTGGACCTTCTATCAATTACCAATCTTGCCCAATCAGCGTCTATATAAACTTCCACACTAAGATGATCATGTTTGGAGAAATAAAAGCCCTTTCCAGGCGAAAATTTTAGGTATCTAAGAATCCGTATAACTGCAGCTAGGTGTCCCTCATGAGGAGTGTGCATGAACTGACTAACCACACTAACCGCAACAGCAATGTCCGGACGTGAATGAGATAGGTAAATGAGTTTATCCACTAGTCTTTGATAATTCCCCTGTCAACAAGAACTCCTCCACTGTCATCACCAAGTTTTTGGTTTGGCTCTAGCTGTGTGTCACAAGCTTTACTGCCAAGCATCCCGATTTCTTTTAATAGATCAAGCACATATTTCCTTTGACAAATGAAGATTCCATCCTTGGACTGGGCAACCTCAATACCTAGGAAATACTTTAAGTTTCCCAAGTCTTTGATTTCAAACTCGCTTGCCAAATATTCCTTCAACCGAAGAATTTCTTCAGCATCATCTCTTGTAAGTACTATGTTATCTACATATACAATGAGAGCTATAGTCTTACCATATAATGAATGTTTAACAAACAAAGTGTGATTAGTTTGACCTTGTTTGAATCCATATCTAAGTATTGCTTGAGTAAATCTCTCACATCAAGCCCTTTGGGACTGTTTGAGACCATATAATGATTTTTGAAGCCTGCACACCTTACCCTTTGTTTTAAGATCTTCAAAGCCATGAGGAATGCCCATATACACTTCTTCTAGATCACCATGTAAGAAAGCATTCTTTACATCAAATTGGTGAAGTGGCCAATCCAGATTAGCTGCCAGAGAGAGGATTACCCTGACTGAATTCATCTTAGCAACTGGTGCAAATGTCTCTTGATAGTCTACTCCATAAGTCTGAGTAAAGCTTTTTGCCACAAGGCAAGCCTTAAAGTGCTCAATCGAACCATCTGTCTTGTGCTTCACAGTATACACCCACTTGCATCCCACAATTCGTTTGTCCTTAGGTAACTCTGTCAATTCCCAAGTGCCATTCTTATGAAGTGCTTTCATCTCTTCAATCATGGCACGTTTCCACTCAGGGGTGGTAAGAGCATCCTGAAATGATCAGGTATACTAATAGAGGAAATTTTTGACACGGAAGCTCTATATGAGGGAGACAAATTAGAATAGGATAAAAATTTAGAGATAGGATATTGAGTACAAGACCTCACACCCTTCCGGTGGACAATAGGAATATCAAGATCTGTGTATTCAGGGTTATCAGAGTTACCTAGACTCTCATCAGTTGAAGGTGACGGCAGTGGAAGATCAAGAGAAGTGGTCTCTTGGATCCAAGTAACCTTCTGTCTTTCTTTGTCCCTGACATAAACTTTTCCTTACTCCTTGAGTGTATTAGCTTATGTATTCCCAATAGCTGGTTCACATTGTGGTTCATACGCTATATCCTCAACAACTGGTAAAGGTTCAGAAATAGGTCCTATGCCAAGAATCTTTTCACACCAAGGCTCTCCCCTGAATGGATGACTGGGAAACCAGACAGGATAAGAAGTAGGACTAGGACTTAAAGAATGTGACATCCATGAATACAAACCACTTATGTGAAGGAAAATAATAACACTTATATCCCTTTTGAGTAGGTGAGTACACAAGAAAGACATATTTAAGAGAACAAGGACCCAGTTTACCACGAGTAGGAAAATGATTGTGAACAAAGCAGACACATCCAAAAACTTTGAGGGGAATAGAAGACACGGGTTGAGAGCCTAAGAATACCCGAAGAGGGGTTTGCTTGTGCAACACTTGAGTAGGGGAGGCGATTGATAAGATAGGCAGTGGTAAGGACAGCTTCACCCTAGTAAGACCGAGGCATGTGCATAGAGAAAGTCATGCAGCGAGCGATATCAAGAAGATGATGATTCTTGCATTCCGCAATCCCATTTTGCTGAGAGGTGTTGGTGCAAGAAGTCTAATGAATAATGCCATAACACAGAATTTGTACAACAGCCCCAAATTGAGTGCGAATCATCAAATGAAAGGTTTGAAACACAGAGAAAATCTCACTATTTTCTTTTAGTAAATACATCCAAGTAGTGTGAGAAAAATCATCGATGAAGGTGACAAACCATCTATGGTCTTTTAATGAAACAACACGAGAAGGAACCCCAAACATCATAATGAATCCATGAAAAATGAACAAAACTTTTATTAATACTTGGAGCAAAAGAAGCTCGGTGTTGTTTGCCAAGTTGACCCAACTCACAGTTAAACTTAAAAACATTATTGTTCTTCTAAAAAAAGAAGAAAATAAATGCTTAAGTAATAAAAAAAGTGGATGTCCTAGATGCTGGTTCCAAAGCCAAATGTCGTCCTTGGTGATTGAAGATTGGATGGTAGGATGAGCCATGTGATCTGCCTTATCCAAGATGTAGAGACCATTCTCTGCTCTGCCACTGCCACTGCCACTGCCAATCGTCCTCCTCGTGAAAAGGTCCTGAAAAAGACAATGATCAAGAAAAAAAGTTACACTACAACTCAAATCCTGAATAAGATGACTCAATGATAGAAGATTAATAAAGAAATTGGGAATATGTAAAACTGGTAACATAGGTAAAAAAGATGTGGCATAAATTAAACCTTTTCAGAAACAGAAAAAATAGTACCATCAGCAATCCTAATTTTGTCCTGACCTGAAGAGGGCGTATATTCCGAGAAAAGATCAGAAGATTCAATCATGTGATCCGAGGCATCAGAATCAATAATCCAAGGCAAAGTTTTATGATATAGGAAAGCATTTGTAGAAGAAGCCAAGTTATGGACAAACAAAGAGAAAGATGCAGCGGTAGGAGTAGTGGAAGTCCGACGGTCTAGCAAGTAACGTAGAGCATCCTCAAATTCAGAAGAAGACATACCAAACACAATATCAGTAGACAGGACAATTGGAGCTGAATCATATATATCAACTACATTAGAATGATGGGCACGTGGATTAGACCCACATCCTCTAGACTGTTCAGATCGACTCCCTTGACTACCAGAGCGGTCACCACGATCCCTAGATGGAGTACCATGAAGCATCTAACATGTCTAACGAGTGTGTCTAGGTCGTCGACAGTAGTTGTAGAACAAAGTATCCTTCTTAGAAGGATTGCATGTACCACGAGACAAACGATCTTTATCTCTAGGAGGAGCAGAGGCTAGGGCTGAGCACTCTATGGAGATAGGGGGAAGCATAGCTAAGCGGCGACTCTCCTCATTTTGAAGATAAGAAAACGCTTCTTGAAGGGAAGGGAGAACATCCATCCTAAGGACACGTCTTTGAACAGGATCAAACTTCACATTGAGATCCTTCAGAAATTTCAAGATTCTATCTTGCTCAAAAAATTTGCGGTACCCCACAAAATCGGTTGGGCAGGCTAGTTTGTAGTCCTGAAAATGATTAAGATGTTTCCAACCATTACTTAGGAAGGTAAAGTATTGAAGGATGGTCATCTTGCCATGTACTGAGTGCTCAATTGAGCGGCGCAACGTAAAGGTTTGTGAAAAATTCTCCTTTTGGGAATAGGTAGTAGCCACAGCATCCCAAATGTCCTGAGCTGTATTTATAGATAAGTAGCTCTCACCAATATCAGAAACCATTGAATGGATGAGCCACTCCATAATCAGAGAATTTGTAATCTCCCATTGGTCATAACTAAGATCAGTGGTACTAGGTGCTTGGATTCTCCAATCAACATAACTCGTCTTTCCTCGGTTTTTCAAGAAGGGTGTCAGAAACTGCAATCATGCAAGATAATTCTGACCATTAAACAAAGAGATGGTGATTTTCAGGCTAGGGTTAAGGTTTTCTAATGCAGTAGTCATAATGGGACTCTCCTCTTTAGGTGGCTGAGAACTAGTAGTAGATTCACTGGTAAGTTCAGCCATCTCAGTATGCTACTATCTAAACAACAACCTGCGACAATCACTACTGCTGGAAGAGGGAAAAATGACTGGAATCAAGACACATATAATCACAAACCATGGAGAGATACAATCAGTCAAGGTTGAGGATTAGGGCCATATATTGACCCAAAAAATAAAACAAAAAGTAGGGAGAAGGTACCGTTAATCAAAACAGGGACTGAAGTACTCTCAGTAATAAAGTGAAGACTTGTAGCAAGGGAGAAACAAAGAACCAGATGGGTCTATCAAAACATATACTAGAACAAAGAGAGGCTGTTGAAACCCTAATCAAGATTCAAGGGAGGTGCCGAAATTGTCCTATCCAAGTCGTGAGCCCTAGGCGAGGCTACAAAAGAGCCGAAATAGGCTCTGGTGGTGTCGCCTAGGCCTGGGTGGCTGTTGGCTGGGCTTTGGGTGGTTGTCGGCTGCTCCTGGTGGCTATTGGCTGAGTCTGGGTGGCTTGGTGGTGTGTGGTGGTTTAGCGGTGTGGCATGGTGGTACTATGGTGGTTGGGTAAGGGTGGATTATGAACGTGGCTCTGATACCATGTTTATTTTTGGAGAAATCAAACTTAGGGAATGATGAGACCATCACTCCCTTATATATTAATAATGTGAAACGTGCAATAGAAGCCTCAAGGCACAAAAGGAAACTATAACTAATGACAGCTAAGCAGAATCACAATCACAAAGATATTATTCTAACACAATCACAAAGATATTATTCTAACGGTTAGTAGCAGAGTAGCAGGAAACTCCTACTTGGGTTTCTTACTTAGAAATGCGATTCCGCACTCCCAAGTAAGAAACTTATAAGAAACTTGCTCCCGTCGGGGAAGAATCGCGCTCTAAACTGAGATAAAACCTCTCAAACATACAATTCTTCCAAAAAAAAAAAAAAAACACACACCCAAGATTTCACCTCAAAAACAAATTAATCTTCAACTTTTAATTTTATCAATTTAAACCCTATAATTTTAACTGGGTTTCAATTTAACTTATCTGTCCAAATCTGTTTATTGCTACCGGATAAAGAATAAATTAGTTTTTTAACCTATGGAACTTGTTACTAAATGCATTCACTACTTTTTCATCTACACCCATCTATCTATAGCCTCTCTACCCCACCCTCCTCTACCCTCTCTCCACCACACCGCTTCCCTTCCGTATCAAAAACTAAGAACCCATGGCTGAACGTTCTGATTGCAAAGAATGTACGTAATCCAACACATCCCCCACCAGAAAGAAGAACTACACAACTGAAACACAAAAATAACCAAATAAAACAATGTTTATACTTGCAATGATATAAGGTAATTGAATATTGGAGGTAAGAGTTACAGGAAATGTGAATACTACCCCCATTTGTTGAAAAGCAAAGAAAAATTGGATTTCTCAAATCGAGTGACCCCCTCAATAGGGACACTATCCTTGCTGATAAAAGACACAGTGGCATTGTCGGAGCTGAGAAAATGGGCCGAAGGACTCGACTTAGTGGTGGGGCCACCGTTGCTTCTGCCTCCATCAGCGTTTGCGATGGTGAGTGGATTGGGAAATTGCTTGGTGATAGTTTCTCTTCTACAGATAACTTTAGGTCTGTAGTTGGCGTATAAAGAGGAGTGAATTGGGGAAGGATAGGTGAGGGAACATCTAGTGGCTGACATAGCTCCTTTTCTGGTTGGAGCTTGGCTTGGTGGCGGTGGCGGTGGCGGTGGCGGAGGTAGAAGTAGAGGCGAGGGGAAGGGGAATGGAAAATAGACTAAAAGAAAAGGAATGGTGAATTGATTGAATATGGTGAAGGGCATAGTAAAGTTCAGATAAGTGGTTAAGATTAAATCATATGGTACTTATAATTTGGTGCAAGTGAGTTGAAAGTTGAATTTTCCATCAGGTTTAAAGAGCCAATGAAAAAATGTCACGTATATTGCACAATTTTTTTGCCGTTAGTGTGATAATTGGACTTGGACAGATGGGTTAAATTGAAGCCTAATTAAAATTATGGGGTTTAATTTGATAAAATTAAAGATTGAGGATTAATTTGTTTTTGGGATAAAATTTTGGTTTTTTTTTTTTTTTCTTTTTGTAATTTTTTTTTACTTAACAAAGATAATTTATGGTTGGCATAAATCTCCAATAATTACAGGTAAGGGGAACAAATAATTGTTAAAATATGTTTATATATAATTAATATATAAAATATATACAAACCAAACCAAATTAAAATTCTTTTAATAAATTAATTGGGTCCCCCCCCACCCCGCCCCCGCCCTCACTTCATGCAACTACCCTGTGTCCCTCTTTTGAGAGTTGAACCTTACTTTATTCTGGTGAAGGAGCATCAGATACACGTGGGCTAGATTGCTGGTGATTTTGTTTGCGCTCTTTTTGACATTATGATCTGACTTTTTCTTTTCTTTTAACTTATCCTTTCTTCTATTCCAGTCAAGATTTTTTCTTGGGGATGTGGGGAATGGAGCTGCAATGAAACTTGTTGTCAACATGATCATGGGAAGGTTCTGCACATTCTCTTAATTTTTTATTTATTTATTTTTTTTGGTTCTAGTAATTTGTGACTAAAATGTTCTTCGATGTTTTACATTTTTCAGTATGATGGCATCTTTTTCTGAAGGAATGCTTCTCAGTGAAAAAGTAGGACTGGACCCTAGGGTTCTAGTAGAGGTATTCATTCGCTAGTTGGAGGCATAAATTGTTATAACAATGTAGTATTCATGGCACTCTATTAGGAATTTGTTCCTGAGTTGAGTATATTTGATTAACCACAAGGAAGCATGGGTGCAAATACGGATGCGAGTACAGGTATGCTGATACCGCAAAACCTAAAAAAATAAGATACGGGTACGGTACATCTATAAAAATATATATTTTTATAATTTGTAGTAGCATATGACATATAACAATTAAAAAATCAAATACAAAAAATAATTAAAGTATTTTGGTAATGGTCAAAAAAGAGCCCTAAATATTTTTTATACTTTCATAAATGCAAAAATACCATATATTTTTAACATTTTAAAAAATAAGCAGAATATAATCTTTCTAGTACTCCTACATTCAAATAAATTACATTTATGACTCAAAATACTCACAAAAGTACCCAAAAGGTACCCATCCCGCATCTGTCCCATGCCCAAAATATTTCGCCTACCGGATAAGTATCCAATACTCGTATGTCAATTTTTTCAGCATACCCTGCTTCATAGATTAGTTGTCTTGTCTTCATACTTGCATGTAAGATGTTTCCCATTTGGTGCACCTTGTTGATTCTGCAGGTAGTCTCACAGGGTGCCATTAGTTCGCCAATGTTTTCGATGAAAGGTCCTTCAATGGTCCAGTCCATGTATCCTACTGCATTTCCTCTCAAGCATCAGCAAAAGGTTTGTAACCTCCCCTAGATTGCCAATAATGCACAAAAATCTACCACGGTGTTGTCTTACTGCAAATTTTATTTGTGGCAGGACCTGAGGCTTGCTCTGGGATTAGCTGAATCTGTTTCCCAACCTACACCAATCGCAGCTGCTGCAAATGAACTATACAAGGTTGCTAAATCTCGTGGCCTTAGTGACCACGACTTTTCAGCAGTCATCGAAGCACTAAGAATAAAATTGCAAACCCAATCAAAGGAGTAGAACATGTTTTCCTTTGTAGTGGTTTGTTAAAAATGGTTGGTTTAGGTTTTAGCTTGCCTCTTTTTTCTTTTTTTCTTTAAATAGCTTTGCCTATTTGAGTTTGGCATTTTCTTTTTGGAAATTTTGGGTTGGGTTTTTTCCCTCATCCATGTTTTGTAACAATTATATATACAAGGCCACAAATAGTTCCTTCTTGTAATCATACAGACATAGCTATATATTTTGGTTGATATTTGATCTCAACTTCAAATAGGTTAGAACTTAACTCTTTTCATCATCTTCTTCTTCTTCTTCATGATTACAATTGATTTTAAAGTTGTACTTTTTTAGAGCGAAATGGTTGATTTTAGAAGGTAATCTGTGTCCATGTTGACACAAACACCGCAAAATCCCATAATTAATGTGTGGTTGAATAAGTCATCAGTAATTAATGTGTGGTTGAATAAGTCATCAGTGGGTATATAAAAAAGTCAACAAAAAGTTGATAGGGCAGGAGAGAAGATGAGGGCTAAATTGGTGGCCAAGTCATGTAATTAATGGCCATCTTTTAAGAGATTGTCCAAGTTAATGTAATGAGATAAAGGACAATACTGGAGCAGTGTTTCATGTCACTAGTTTATGATAAACGTCTTCTTGTCCCTCAAAACGACATAAAACTGATGGGTTCTATTATTTTAATCAAACTCAATTTAGGGCACTATTTGCATTTTTCGCCTTAGGAGCAAAATGTAATTTTTCCCAATATTAAGGAAGGTTTCATTTTTACATATCATTTATTCTTTGTGCATACTCGTAATGAATAATATTTTTAGAGGGCTGCTAAATGCCCTTACCTTTTTACTTTGGACCCTCCTTTTTTTTTTAATTACAATTTTATCCTAACATCAAATTCTAATTTTATTCCCATCCTTATCTTCTCAAATCTAACCCTAACCCTAATCCCATCACCACTTCCACTCTCGTTGACACCCTTTAGCAACCAACCCACCCTCTAATGACCAACCCATAACCACTTCCACTCACACCGGACAACCTTTGAAACATTGCGATCTTCATCAACCTACATCCAAAATCAGATATTTATGGAGAATAATCTAAATCTAGAGAGAGAAGTGAGGGTTTACTGAGAGCAGAAGACAAAGACAGATTTGCAAAAAAAGAAAAAGAAAAAGAAAAAGAAAAAGGGTGATAAAGAAGAAGAACAAGGCTGAAAAAGCAGAACAAAGAGAGTGCTTTGGGTATAATGGATTTGAGAAGGCAATGCTATGTAAAAGAAAGGAAATGAAGGAAGAAGAAAAAGAAATTGAAGTTAAAGTGTTAGTGGGCTGTGTTTTTAGGGAAAAAAGATTGTCTCGTGCGTCACTCTCTCTTTCTCTCTCCTCCCATCGATTTCTTTCTCGACCTCACAGTTTGGTCGATTTCTCTTCGTTTGGTTACACAAAGTCGAACTTGTTGAATATGTTCGGTGCTCCACAACCGAACATATGCCTTTTGTTTGGCCACATACTACCGAACATCAAGCTTTTGTTCAGAACTGGTTTTCTAAACGGCAGCAAGAGTGGTGGCAAAGGCAAAAAAGAGGGATTGGGGGGCCTATCGGAATGTAAGAGAGGTCCCAGAAGTGCGAGGATGGAGATTGGAAGGAAGAGTGGGGGGTCATCGGCGAGAGAGGGGTGTTGGGGGAGGATCGCCGAAGGGCAAGGTAACTAGAGTAAGAGAGGGACTACCGGAGGAAGGAATGAGAAGTTACAAGTGGACGGTGTAGGGTAGGGTTCAAAGGGTATATTTGGGATTATGGTAGGGGTTCAAAGAAAACTAAAGAGAGAAGCAATTTTGATGGTGGGGAGCCAAAGAAGTAGGCGGGTCCAAAGTAAAAAGGTAGGAGTATTTAGCAACCCTCATATTTTTTTTTATTATTTTATAATTTGACCACTAAACAAAATTATTAATATGGACATTAGTACACATCCCACTTTAGAACTAGATTTTTTCAATACACATCTTTTGAATTAAGAAATTCTCACAACATCCATTAGTTGTCATAACATTAAACATACTAAACCCTATATTGATTCTCCATTGCCATCTTCCAAAATTATCATATTGGAAAGTTAATTGAAGTGGTTCAATCATTTCGTTGCTCTCAAACCCTCTCAGTTTACTATATTTGAGACATTCTTTCTCCTCACTTGAATCCTCCCATTACACCTGACCCCATTCAACATCCATGTTATATTTGCAAAACTAACAGAATCAACAATGGAAGGGGACAAAGAAAAAACAAAAAAACCAGCTATCATAACTTGGTTTGGAAGTACAGGTTTGAAAAAATTGTTGTAGTTCAGAAGTAGAGATATGGAGAAAAATTGGTTTGGTTCGTTTAGGAAGTAAGTCTAAAACCTCATTGTTGGTTCAGAAGTTGAAGTTCCAGTGAGAGATGGATTCAGTTTTCTATTTCCAATCATTGGGTCCATAAATGAACTACTAGTGTCGAATGGTTTGGGCTTGAAACCATTACCAAACAACCAAAAAAATAGTTGTAAAAATCTATACAAAAAATAGTAATAACTTCACCAAATCTACATGAAAGTTCAATTAAAACCTAACCTTGAAACAATGGAAGTGTTGAGAATAGAAGAAATTGTACTTTCATACAATATCTTAATTGAATTATACGTAATGACCAATAAATTCAATTTAATTCTATATCTATACATGTCAGAATCCTAGCAACAATTTAATCTATTATTAGATATTTGGACATGAGCTACTGGATGGAGGAGCTTCAATGGTACTGAAATGGGGATGCTTCAACAATGGAGGTGCTCTTGCTTAGGCATCCAATGCACACACAAATCAAGTTTGGTGTACGTGTACCATTTTTAGTGTGTGTTTGTTTAGTATGTGTACACTATTCCATATAGGGTATATTTAGAATAATTTTGTGTGAAGTGAGGAAATTACAATTACTTTAGGAGATAAACTTCTTTACGGTTTAGCCATAAAGTCAATTTCTTACTGCATCCAATACTATTCTACCATCTCATCATTTTTGTTTTCAAATTTTCATGTACGCTCAAGTGCTATTCTTCTACTTCCTCTAATAATCACCCATAGTCGTTGTTAAGATCTTGCTAGCAAGATCAACACTGTGATATAACCAACATGATACTGAGATTTAAAATAAATTGACCCAAAATTGTTTTGAGTCCTTCAATCACATGTATTATAGAGTGTAAATTTTTTTAATTCAACTTCAAATTTTGGCAAGTAAAATTTTTATCCTCTTCCAAATCAAGCCTCCTAGTTCCTAGTTTCCGATGACCTCTATAGCAATGAGCCTCATCTAGTTGAGCTTTCTAACCTCCACTGCTGCAACCCAAAAAACCACCATGGACACATCTTAACCACGCCCTACACCAACCAACCCTACATGGTTCCACTGATACATTCATGGTGTTAGAATTATGTATCTGTATTATTGAATTGAATGAATGAATACAATAGGAGAAGCATGTATATATAGGCTGAAAAGAAACCTAGATAAGTATAGAAGAAGATAAAGATACAAGGAGATAGAGATAAAGACACAAGATAAGGATAGAGATACAAATAGATAAGTATAATATAATAATATGCATTAACTGCCCCCCCTCAAACTCAAGGTGGGTAGGCATCAACCAACTTGAGTTTGGAAACTAGATCACTGAAATAACCAGGAGGATGAGCCTTGGTGAAGATGTCAGCTGTCTAATTGGCAGAGATAACAAAGATAAGACGACCAGTGCCACTAGTAACATGCTGTCGTATAAGTGACAATCAATCTCAATATGGTTTGTGCGATCATGGAAGACATCATTATGGGCAATCTGAATAGCACTCAGATTATCACAATAAAGGTTAATCGCAGTAGAATGAGAAACCCTCATATCAAAAAGAAGCCAGCGAAGCCACACAAGCTCTTGAGTAGTGTCAGTAAGAGCACGATGCACGGCCTCAGTGCTAAAAGGAGCAACAATAATTTGTTTCTTGCTATACTAGGCAATGAGAGAGTCACCCAAGAAGAAGCAGAATCCTGTAGTAGAACGGCGATCAATAGGGTCCCCTGTCTAAACAGCATCAGAAAATGCATGTAACTGCAGAGAAGAGTAAGTAGAGTAGTAAAGACCATGAAACATAGTGCCTTTAAGATAACGTAAAATGCGAACTAGGCCATCATAGTGCGGAGAACGAGGAGCAGCCATGAACTGACTAATAATGTGAACAGCATAAGCAATGTCTGGACGAGTAACTGTGAGATAGACAAGACTGCCAAATAGCTGATGATATAAAGTAGCATCAGACAACAGGTGACCTTCAAGAGGTGTGAGACGAGTCTAAGGATCAACAGGAGTAGATGCAGTCTTACAATCGGTAAGACCAGCACGAACCAAGAGCTCAGAAGTATACTTGGCTTGGGAGAGAAAGTAACCAGATAGATCATGAGAGATTTTCAAACCAAGAAAATAGCTAAGAAAACCCAAATCCTTAATCTCAAACTGGCAACTAAGAAACTGTTTGAGACTAGAGATACCCACGGTGTCATCTCCAGTGATAATCATATCATCCACATAGAAAAGAAGAAGAATAGTACCACACTCTGTCTTACGAATAAAAAGGGCAGAATCATAGGCACTAGAGGAGATTCCAAAATCATAAATGGTGGAGCTAAACTTGGCGAACCAGGCACAAGGAGCTTGTTTCAAACCATATAAAGCATGATGAAGTTTACAGACTTTGGAGGGCAAAACAGAGGAACCAGGTGGAGGTTGCATATAAACTTCCTCGGTGAGATCACCATTAAGAAATGCATTCTTCACATCCATCTGACAAGGTTTCCAGTGGCGAGCAGCAGCAACGACAAGTAAGCTACGAACAGAAGTCAAATGGGCAACATGAGCAAATGTTTCTTCATAGTCAATCCCATATTCTTGAGCAAACCCTCGGGCAACAAAACAAGCTTTGTAATGCTCAATAGAACCATCAGAATGAGTCTTGAGCTTGTAAATCCATTTGCAACTAACAACACATTTGCCAAGAGGAAGATTAACCACATCCCAAGTATGAGTTTTATCAAAAGCCTATAGTTCATCAGTCATAGCTTGTCGCCATAGAGGGTTAGAACAAGCCTCTTGATAAGAAGTAGGTTCATGAGAGGAAAATGCAATAGAACCAACAATGAAATCACGAAGAAAGACAGAAGG